TTGGAGCGTCTGAAATCACAACTCCTAAGAAGCAGAGTGTTTCCTGTCTTGGGCATTTGTGGGAAGTCCAGAATCATAGGGTATGTGTGGCCAGACTCAGGAGCATTGCTGTGGTTTTACTGAGCCAGAATCTAGCCCATGCCATTCTGGAAATGACATCTCAGAGAAAAGGTCCCAAGAGTCTGCGAAGGTGTCGATTTGGCCAGTTCTCCTTGACTCTGTTACCCTGCGCCTGGCTTTTCCTCCCAAAGAGTCGGTGTTGTGCTCCACAGATAGATGATAGAAGTATGTACTACCAGTGGTCAGCAAACTCATTAGTCAACAGAGCCAAATATCAACAGTTACAATGATTGAAATTTTTTTGAGAGCCAAAATTTTTAAACTTAAACTTCTTCTAACACCACTTCTTCAAAATAGACTTGCTCAGGCCATGGTATTTTGTGGAAGAGCCACACTCAAGGGGCCAAAGAGCCACATGTGACTCGTGAGCCTCAATTTGCCAACCACAGTAAGTGGTGTTTGATGAAGTGTTTGATGAAGAATTTACCGTTTCCTAAGCTGGATCTGGTACAAGGAGAAAAGACTGGGACTGGGACTGGGACGTCCTATGTGAGTCGAGGATGTTGGAGAGACAGAGCCTTTTGCCCCGGAGACACCAGCTGGCCTTTGGCTCAAACTTATTTGACTGAGGCTCTTGACCTTGGTCCGTTCTCCTCAGAATGCCCTGCGCCTCTGCTCAGTGGGGTGCCCCGGCTTTGTGACAAGATTCAGGTGGCTGCCCGTTCCTCCTTGCCATGTGGAGGGGATAAATAGGTGATCTCCTGGGCGACAGTCAAGAAGGCAGTTTAAACACAACCTTCTGTGCTGACTTCCTAAAGCACAGCCACACCCTTCTTCATTCAAAATCTCTCCAGTTAAAGAACATGCAGAGCAATGGCTCTTTGAGAAAACGCCACCCGAACCACAAGCTGGGAGGCCAATCAGGTGGCTTGAAGCACTTGAGTCCCGTTTTCTATTTTCATCTTTTCTTAGCACATCTTCCTGCAAGCAATATGCTGCTTAGGTAACTCGACTGCATAAGGACTAAAGGCTTTCCTTCCCATCAGATGAAAGCTAGAAGAGGAAATTTGAACTTAGTATTATTTCCTTTATCGAAAAAGGTCTCAGTGCGTCACTTAGATGCAGCAATTCCAGTTCTAGAAGTTTTTCCTTATGAAATAGGATACGTACAAAAAATGCCCATCTGAGCTGCCTGTGGTAGCATTGTTTATAACAGCAAAAACTTGGAACCAACATAAATGTCAGTGTAATGATTACATAACAGTGTGCGATAATGTAGCCTTTCAAAAGACTGAGGTAGTTTGTAGTTCTCATGTGGAAAGGCCGATAAAATATTAGAGGGAAAATGACTTCGAGTTTCTGGCCTAGCCTGGAAGGAAAGACATTGAATCAATAATTAATAACCTTCCAAATCAGAATGAGTTCACTGGTAAATTCTACCAAATATATAAGGAAGAAATTACACCATTTCTCTGCAATCTCTTCCAGAAATTGGAAGCAGAGGGAACACTTCCTAACTCAAAGTGAAAGACATTATAAGAAAACTAGACTAATACAAGTTAGCATAGATACAAAAATCTTCAACAAAATATTAACAATTTGAATCCAACCATATAAAAAAAGATGTACAGACCACAACCAAGTGGGACTTATCCCAGGTGTGTAAGGCTGGTTCAACATTTAAAAAAATCTATTGATGTAGCTGAGAACAGTTTGGCTTAGTGGATAGAGTGTCAGTCTGCGGACTGAAAGGCCCCAGGTTCGATTCTGGTCAAGGACATGTTCCTTGATTGCGGGCACATCCCCAGTAGGGTTGTGCAAGAGGCAGCTGATCGATGATTCTCTCTCATCGATGTTTCTAACTCTCTATCCATTCTTCCTCTCTGTAAAAAATCAATAATATATATATATTTAAAATTTAATTGATGTAATCCATCACATAAACGTGCTAAGGACGAAGAAGCACATGAGCAGATGGATCGATGCAGAAAAAGCATTTGACAAAACCCAGCATCTGTTATGATAAAACTCACAGGCAATTAGGAATAGAAGTTATCTTCTTCAACTTGATAAAGAATATTTACCAAAACACACAAACAAACAAGAACTACAGCTGACATCATGCTTAATGGAGGTTGAGGAGGGGGTGGGATTTAAAGCTTACCCAGTAAGATATTTTTTATGTTTTAAATGGGATGGATTCTATCTGTAACTACTAGAGAATGCCCACTGGCCGCTTGGAAGCTGGAAGTCTGACCTGGTTAGCTCAGGCCCCAACTCTGTAACCATTAACCTCTTTCCTCAATTAACATCAACAAACATGTGATTTCACACGATGGGACTGTGTTTACATCTGTCCTCTGGATCTCTGAGCCCAAGGGTCTCGCCTGAGCTGGGTGTGGCAGCTCCCGCTGATGTGGAAGGAGGAAGGTTTGGGCTTCCCTCCTCCCCTTCTGGATTCCCTCACTGGCTGCAGCCTGGGGTGAGTCCCTTAGTGGCTGCCTCACAACCAGCCACAGATTTTTTAAAAATATAAATTTTATTGATTTTTTTTTTTTATAGAGAGGAAGGGTGAGGGATAGAGAACTAGAAACATCGATGAGAGAAAAACATCGAGCAGCTGCCTCCTGCACATCCCCTACTGGGGTATGTGCCCGCAACCAAGGTACATGCCCCTGACCGGAATCGAACCTCGGACTCTTCAGTCTGCAGGCTGACACTCTATCCACTGAGCCAAACTGGTCAGGGCAGCCACAGATTTTTTAAAAAGCAATTCACAAGTTTTACTACAAACCAGTCTACATTCATTTCTATAATAAGAGGAAACAAAAATTAAAGAATATATACACTAGTGCCAATGAAAGAATATCCATCCTACAGAAACGTTTATAAGAGTTTATTTGAGCCAAATTGTTGAGGATAATGCCGCAAAGCAAGATCTCAATGGATGGAGAAAATGCTCAGGAGAATAGCTGCTTATTTGACACATTAGAATCAAAGGAGGAGACACGAAGAGAATCATGAGAAATTCCTCAGCGGTAAATTAAGAGGGCAGGAGAAAGCCAACCGGAGAAATCTCTAGAAGTGGATAAAAGGCGGAATGGAGAAACACATACTTCTTTCACATGGGAGGGTTCAGCATGGTTGATAATGAACATGTACAGCACATGGAGATGGCATGCAGGGAACATGCTCGTCGTGAGGGGTTCTGTGATCTGGTGGCCTTGTGCTCTGATGCCTGTGGCTGTGCCTCAAAGGGGCCGAGAAAAGAAAACTAGTTGACATTTCAAAGATTTGTTATCCTGGATGCATAAGAGCAATGCACAGGGCTCAGGTAAGGTAAAGACCGGCCTTTGCTGAGGAAGCGGTGGGCCTAGTTAGGGGTTTATGATCAGAACGTCCTGGGTGGTTACCTTTGGTCACAGAGTTTGCAAGGCCTGCCACGTGGGCTCCCCCTGAGCTTGTCAGGTTGATTGCATTCACGCCAGTGAAAACCTCACGGGAGAACTAGGGCAGGAAGTTAAAAGGAGTCATGAAGCCGAAACCGGTTTGGCTCAGTGGATAGAGCCTGTGGACTCAAGGGTCCCAGGTTCTATTCCGGTCAAGGGCATGTACCTTGGCTGGAGGCACATCCCCGGTAGGGGGTGTGCAGGAGGCAGCTGATGGATGCTTCTTTCTCATCAATGTTTCTGACTTTCTATCCCTCTCCCTTCCTCTCTGTAAAAAAATCAATAAAATATATTTATTTTTTAAAAAAGGAGTCATGGGCTGTGTTCCTCAAGACTGACTCCGGGGCCAGCTGGAGGGCAAGCACTGGAAGAAGTTCCAGGCCCAGGTGGGGACTCTTCTCCATCTTCAGATCCCAGAGTAAGGCTCCCCCACAGAGTGAACCCAAATGTAAGCTGGCTATTAGGCGATAATAATGTAGGTTCGCCAGTTGTAACAATTGTGTCACTCAGTATGGGATGTTGATAGCAGGTGAGGCTGTGCGAGTGTAGGGGTAGTGACATAGGAACCATCTGTACTTTCTGTGCAATTTTGCTGGGAACCTAAAAGTGCTCTAATAATAGTTTGTTTTTAAAAAATGTATGCTCTCAGTAACACATATATATAATCCCATTCATGTTAACCAACCCCACACACACACAACTATATCTATCTATCCATCTGTGTGTGTGTGTGTGTGTGTCTGTGTCTGTATGTATTTGTATATACCAACTGATTCCAGAGTTGCCAACAGGGCTGAGGTTGGAGGACGAGAGAGTACCCTATAGTCTGTAACATTTTAGCTTTTGACAACGAGAACCTGCTCACTTACGTACATAAGGCCAAAAAGGAGAGCTTGGCCCTAGCCAGTTTGGTTCCATGGATAGAGTGTCGGCCTGCGGACTGAAGGGTTCCAGGGTTCAATTCTGGTCAAGGGCACATGCCTGGTTTGTGGGCACGATCCCCACTGTGGGGCCTGCAGGAGGCAGCCAATCAGTGATCTCGATCATCATTGACATTTCTCTCTCTCTCCCTCTCCCTCTCCCTCTCCCTCTCCCTCTCCCTCTCCCTCTCCCTTCCTTTCTGAAGTCAATAAAAAAAAAAGGGGGGGTGGGAGGGGGCGTGCTTGCTGGTCTCTGGTTCCTCCTTTACAAGGGGACATTACATTACAGGGGAATGTTGCCTGGAACAGTAAAATACATGTATGCTTTACTGAGACCACGCATATTTTAAAAACACAATTATTCATTCAACAAACATTTTTGAGTGCCTGGTCTTTGCCTGGAGTTCTTCCCAGGCCCTGGGATGCCAGGATGTAGGGGAACCAGCTCCCCCCAACCCCCTCACCCCATTGCCCCCGGGGAGGGGGAGAGTTGTCTTTTATGCTTGTTTTCTCCCAAATGGCACGAAGTCTGCCTAGTTTGGGGACGCTAACTGTAACCCCTCCTCCTCAGAGAAGCCGTGCGGAGACCCGCCTTCGTTCCCACACACCATCCTGCAGGGCCGCACCGGCCTGGAGATGGGGGACGAGCTGCTGTACGTGTGCGCCCCGGGCCACGTCACGGGCCACCGCGAGAGCGCCTTCACCTTGCTGTGCAACAGCTGCGGGGAGTGGTACGGCCTGGTGCAGGCCTGCGGGAAAGGTAAGCCGCCCCACCTGCCCTGGCTGGTGAGCGGAGCACGTCTGACCCTCCCCCTGAGTTCGGGGCCTGGTGGCGTGGCCCCAGGGCTGTTCCTGCGGCATTTCCAGCCACCCCTGGGCCCCTCCTCTTCGGGGCAGGGGGGTCTCGGGGAATAAAGCCCTCTCTTCTTCCCTAAGGACAGGGTTGACCTTGGGTCGACTTTCTGGCTTATTTTCCTGGGAACCCCATCCGATGGGATGCCAGCTGGGATTCCAAGCAACAACCTTTTGGTAAACGGAGGCCTGATGGGAGGACCGGGCCGGGAGGACTGTCATGACCACAGGAGAGGAGCCCAGGCTGAGGCTTCCCTGAGTGCGGTGGTTCTTTGGGATGGGGTGTGACCTTGTGGGGGCCCTGAGAAGAGCTCCTGGTTCCTAGGGGCCTGGAGTTTGGAAGCCAGGGGAGTCCACAGCCCAGCATGCAGGGCCTATTCCCTGGCCCTGGAGCAGTCCCAGGGGTGTCAGGGCTGGAGCAGGGAGGATCCCTCCAGGACTGCTGTGTGGACAGTCCCCCATGACAAGAATTGCCTGCGCTGCCCTTCAGCCTTGGGCTACTTACCACCTGGCCCGCAGGCCGTGGCAGGCATGTGAGTCCAAATATGTAGGTAAGACTGAAAAAGGCTGCTGATGGGCACTGAGCTTCCAAAACCTGATCACATTGAGTTGAAATGGTTATTCACATCATGTAGGGTTTCTTTTTTTTTTACATAAAACCTTCTTAAATGAATGAGTTGCCAATATTCTCTCCCATGGCTTTTTCCTCTTGGAGTGTCTCTGAATGAATGATTTTTTTTTTTTTTATCACTCTTGTCTACTTTGCTACTTCTCTTATTTTCTGTGGACCATTACATTTCCCCTCCCCTGGTCATGGGCAGACTGATACTCTAGTAAAATGAAATCATAAAAATGAAATACTTTAAAACTAAATTAAACAAAGACATTCAAAATATGAGCTCCGTGTTTTGGTTAAATTAAAACTCGCCTGTCATGTTGTTTTAAAAAGGCTCTAGAAACTTCCTCTCGGGGTACCTTGTACTTGCCTCGTTGTGTACCGGTAACAAAAGGATACGGACTGGGACGAGTTCGAGAAGCATGAGTTGAGCGATCTTCTAGCACTTCCCTCCGTGGCAGGCAGGAGCTCCTCAGCAGCTCAGACCCTTTACCTGGTCAGAAAACTAGGCGCCAGGCCCAGCCTGAGTTCCTGTTTGTTGCATCACCTCAAAGCACACCCATACTCACCCCACGATGGTTCATGAGCTGGCTCTCTTCTGGTCAGGCCCCCGAAGCCACACCTTCCCCTGAGCCACACCTACTGGCCAAATGACATGTTTACTGGCCCTGGCAGAGCGAAAACTAAATGTGGGTTTTGTGTGTCTGAAATAGTGTTTATTTTCTCATTGCAAAGTGGAGTAGTTAGAGCTTTCAGCTGCTGGGCAGGAATCTTGGTTTCTACCCTTGGCTGAGTACACAGACCGTTACCGTTTTCAATACTCTGTAGGTTTAACAGTTAACGTCTCCGAGTCATTATAAGAAGTCTGAGGGAGACAAGAATATCATCACCAGGTATTTCACTCCATTTTGCATGCATTGTTTCCAGGGACCATTACCTTGTTTGACTAGGGAACTGTTTGAAATTGGAGAAAAGTCACCTTGGGAGAGTGGGTCCAACAAGGGCTTTGCAGTTGGACTCACCTGGGTTTGGTTAACAACATCCCTGGTACCGGCCGATGGGCTGTCCCTTCATTCACTCACCCTACAGCCCTTCGCTTGGCAGAGTCCTCATTGCTGTGTGTGCAAAGTTGGGCAAAAGTGCCCCAACCCTAAAGAAAACTCGGCTGCCTCAAAGGAGACAGAAAAGCAGCAGATGATGAAGTAGAAGGGAGGGGAGGGGTCGCAGAAGGCGACATTTTTAAGGGAAGTGTGTGTTTGCAGGCAGAAGTGCTCAATGACCTTTGGCTTCACAGCCTGAGAGGGTCCAGGCGGCCTCGTACTTTCCGTGAGTGCATGGGGAGCAGGGTGCACTGTGATGAGTACAGGAACCAGGTAGAGTAGGGAAGAGAGCCAAGGGAAGGGCAGAGAACCCATTCTGGAATGTCTGCTGACCGTGAAGAAAACTAGGAAAGAAACAAGAGGTCGTGAGAGTTTGTTTTGTTCCCTTTATGAGATGCGAGAGACTTTAAGGTTATCTCAATGACAATGGGAAGGCTCGGAAGGGAAGGGGACTCTGAACAATTTCCTTGACTTCCCTGAGCCTTAATGTGCTCAGATGAAAACATGGATACTGATTTTCACCTACTGCCACCCCCAGGGGCTTCCTGCAAGTCCATCACTTAGAACAGGGCCTGGAAACTGGTGTGGGTTCAGTGAGTGTTCGTTCTCTCCTTTCACTCTCATGCGGACCGTGAGGGTGCACTGGCCTGGGAGAGGGGACGGGGCAGGACACCAACACCACCCACTACCGTGGAGAACTGAGTTGCTCCATCAGTTCAGTGAAGCACGGGTTTTACAAAAACCCATTGATCAGGCAGAGCCTGCCTGGGTGAGCCTGCTGAAATGTAGACTTTAGAATGATGAGCAGGAACGAACCCATAGGGGCACCCACACCTGGGTGGTGGTTGAGTGGATTGTGGAGGAAGGGCCTCAGCCACACAGCACGGGCTTGTATGTCTACCCCAACATCAAGGTCCAGCCTCAGGTGAGACTTTTTTAGCCTTGACCATTAACCTAAGTGGCTGAGGTTAACTGCCAACTTCTCCTTAACTGCCAACTTCTCCTTTCGCTGGGTTAGTATTCCTTCAAAACTCGCCCTGACAAAGGCTCGGAAAGGCCTTTACGATCTTCTACCCCAAGCCCCATGGCTTCTGTTTGCACTTCCTAGTCTATAATGTCAGGAGAGTGAGTGACACCTCACCCCACCAGCCCCACTGCCTCTGAGCTCAACAGCAAACAGGTCTGTGGCAGCTGTGGAGACAGGGCACCCTCCCCGGTGAGGCCCCGAGAAAAGAGTGGCCGTCAGCCAGGCCAGACGGGCCCAGGCCATCTCTGTCCTGGGACTTGGCTGTCCTGTCCTTGAACAGCTCTGCTGAGGTGTCATTGGCACCCAGTGGACGGAACCCAGTGATTGAAAGCACAGAAGCCTCTGAGCTGTCACAGGTGTGTGACCGCAGGAACCACCACCACAGCCAAAACGAAGACCATCCCCACCCTCCCTGGGCCTCCTGGGCCCCTTTCTAGGAGAGGGGCCTTACACCGTTGACTTCTCCTTTGATCTTCCCAAGTAGAAACAGCTTCTTCCAATGTACAAATGGGGAAACTGAGGCACACGAGACGGTCCCGTGGTTTGCCTGCGTCACACAGCCAGAAAGAAGCAGAAACAAGACTGAATACCAGGCAGGTCTCACTCCAACATCTACATAGGGTCTGAGCTTCCGCCCAGGGCGTCTAAACCTCGGCTCGCCCTGCCCAAGGGCTGTTCCCTCAGAGAGTTCCCCTGCTTTCTCTGTCCTTTCTAAAGCTTTCCTTTTGTTTCCTTAAATTACCTCCCGGTTTCTATTTTTCTTCATCCCCTGGACCTGACTTCCTTTACAGAATAAAACATGAGACCGGAGCCGAATTCAGACTTTCCCTGTCAATATTGCCATATTTGTGCAGAGCTTCATCGGGCCAGTGGTTATTTCTGGCTTGTCTGGTTGTCTTTTTCGAAATTACTATTTTTAAAGGCTGTGTAGCCAAGACCAGAGAGAGAGAGAGGGGAAAAAAAAAAAGAAGGTCCGTGTGGGCTTCCAGCAATGAAAAAAGATGACCGGCCCAGGAGCATGCCAGGCTTCTGGCTCCGGCCTGTGTGCTTCACCCTTGACCTTGTAACGCCCAGCTAAACAAGGCACAAGGGAGCCTTCTCCCCTCTCCCCGAGCTCTGTCTCTCTGTGGTCCTCTGTTCTCCTAAAGGTAGAAACACACAGGGCATGGCCTGGTTTTTGCCAAAAGAACCCACGAAGTTTACATTTCCTGGACCTGTTGGTCTAACTCACAAGCCCCGTGTTGTGCTTGCACAGGTTTCAGGGAGAGGTAAGGGAGGGGAAGGGGAGGGGAGGAGAGTGAAGAAGGGAGGGGAGGCTGGGAGGATCACTAGAGGATTGAGGAGAGTGGGGACCCAGGAAGGCCAGGGGAATGGAGAGAAAAAGCACCTCAGCTGGCCAGGAGCTGGGCTCCTGCATCTGGCGGATGGAGTTTCACTGTTGGTTGAAATTCAGTGAGAAACAAGCTTAACTGTCACTCGTGAGGAGAGAAACGGGCTCGGGACACTTTCTCATGAGCAGACTATTGATGAACACTCGGTGTCCTTGTCTTCATTTGCGGTTTGGGGGGAAACTTGACATAGTGAGTGCGAACCTGTTTCTGAGCCAGAACCTTGCCTTGTGGACCTGGGGAGATCAGAAGAGCTTAGCTCGGGGTCCAGGGCTGCCATCCAGTGATGCTTTTGGCTCAGGGAGCTGTGGAAGCAAAAGCTCCAGACAACACAGACAAACATATGCACACCCTGAGCTCAGACTGACTGTAAAGGTCCTGGTCGAGGCAGGCCTCCCCATTGCCAGTGGGCTGACCTTTCCAGATTCTCAGCTTGAACCTTATACACTGAGTGGCCAAATTATTATGATCTCTGAATACATAATAATCTGGCCACTCATATATATATATATATATATATATATATATATATATATATATATATATATATATATTAGAGGCTCAGTGCATGAATTTGTGCATGGAAGGGTCTGGCCAGCCTGGCCAGGAGGAGGGGACATGGGCAGTTGGCCGGCCTGCCTGTTGGCTGAACTCCTTCCTGGTAGAGGGGACAATTTGCATATTAGCCTTTTATTTATAGGATATACACTGAGTGGCCAGATTACTATACGTTCAGAGATCATCATAATCTGGCCACTTAGTGTATGTTAGGCCAAT